CATGCTCGGAATAAATGTCAGTCAAAGTACCGCAGCGCTGAATACTGAAAAATGGCCTGGATGGGAAGGCGGTTTAACACCGCGGATGTCAACTGGTTAAATATCACATGGGCTCATGAAACGGCGACAAAATAGGGTACCCCAAATTGTTCATCGGTGACGCGTTAAAAGCCAGGGCATCAGTTTAGAGTTAACTGTGAATATTGGCCCTAGAATTATTATTCTCACCCAAAGCGTGTTTACATTACTATGTTCACGGAGACATTGAAATTTTTTAATTTATTTTACTATATGTTTTTTGTTACTTTGTTTCATTGCTATCACATAGTGGGGCTTGGCAGCCACCCTATTTGATAGCATATGAGATGGTAAACGGTACACTTTAAGTCGGCCGCTCGCTCTTCCGAGGCCACTGCGGGCGGCCCTCTACATTGCCTGATTGGGGAGCCGCGTCTGTCTGATCCATGAAGGGGTAATGTTTCATCACATAACTTAAGAATAACTTAGTTTTTTCAAAATTGTCTTTTTTTTCTTTATGTAGTAAAAAATTAAAAAACCCTGTGGGGAAGGAGCTTTTGTTTTGGTGGTATTCAATCTGTCCCCAAAACATTATATAAATTTCATTTTGGTATGGCGTTACATGACTGAATAAATGTCAAAGTACTTCAGCAATAAATACTGAAAAATGGCCTGGACAGGAAGGGGGTTTAACCCTTTTGCTGCCAGCTACATAGGCCATACATCACTGCCAGCGCGCCCCTCTAAACAGACTCTATTCAGCTGTGTAAAGCCAATGGGTGGCTTTACACTGGAAGCGATTCTGGTGGCTGTGCTGCTGCCAGATTGCTTCCATGGGGCACTGAAGCATACACCCCCATGAATTGCTTTCCAGGCTACACTGCCTCTCCTGAGGGCCTGGAACCGACATCACAGGTGCGGCAGGTAGAGATACTGGTGAATATCTGTGCGCTGATCTCCCCACTAAATGGGGCCGGAGGTGATGCTGATTGCATCACTTCTGGGCCCTCACCACGATCTGCACTTGAGTAGCTTCTTTTCAGTGGAAAGGTGACACTAGGAGTCCAATGTCACAGTGGCGTAACAACCGGGGG